CTCCTGCCTCAGCCTCCCAAGTAGCTGGGACCACAGGCACCCACCACAACACCCGGCTATTTTTTGGTTGCAGCCGTCATTGTTGTTTGGCGGGCCTGGGCTGGATTCGAACCCACCACCTTAGGTGTATGTGGCTGGTGCCTTAGCCACTTGAGCCACAGGTGCTGAGCCAAGGATCTCTACTCTTAAACTAGAAATACTTTCTTCAGCATATCGAACAGGACTTTTTGCACTAATGTGGCAGTCCAACACTTGAATATGGCTGGTATAACTGAGCCATTGCATTTTAATTGTATTTAATTTTAATTAGTTTTCTTTTAAGTTTAATCAGCCAGATATGTATTGTAGCATTTAGCTGAAGACCCAGACTGGAGGTGGAGGCCATGGATGGGAACATTGAAGTTCATGGGTTATGGAACAATGGGGGCTGGCCAAGGCATGGCAGAGTGGCACCCCAGCAAGGGGAGAGTAATCCCAGCATCTGGCTCTATAGAGGACAGGCATACCTAGTTCCCTGGGCCAAAGTGCTTGCTCATATGTGCACACACCCGTGCTTGTATGTGACCACAGAGTCTGGTATGCCTGAGTGCTGGTATGCATTTATGTAACAATCCAGGACTCCCATCCTGTGGGAAATCCAAGAGTAGACCCATGTATAGACATTGTATAAACTCCCAGAACATGCAGATAGTGGGTGTGAGTTCCAAAGTGTCCACGCACCTGGGCAGGTTGGTGAGAAAGGCCCACTAGTTCAGCAGGTCTTGCAAGAAGGCCCACATGTACTGGTGCATCTCCTGGGGGTTGCTCTGTGGGATCCAGTGCCCTTCCCCTGGCAGGATGTGGACTTCCAGTCGGCCTGGCACAAAGCGGCTACCAGTGGCCCCCACCAGTCCCAGCTCAAAGTAGGTGTCCTTTTCCCCCCACAGAAGCAATGTGGGTGTGGCCAGTTCCTGGGGCTCCAAGGGGAAATTCCTGTGGCCAAGACAGACAGACAGAAGGATTGCTGCCCCCAACCCCTACCCCTGTAACTCTCTGAAGTTCTGCCCTGCACCTGTTCTCACCTGAAGAGGTTTCGGTAGTAGTTGAGGGGCCCAGTGAGGCCACCAGGCTGTGAGAAGTTATAAAGGAAGGCCTCGAGCTCATTGGGAGTCAAGTGTGGGATGCCTTTCTTGCGGTGAGTGAGGGTGGTCTTCAGCATCTGAGCATATATTAGGACTCTGGTTTCAGTGCCCAGCCTGCCCAGTACTAAGCTGCTGCCCCCACCCTGGGGCCTTCCTCCCACAGCACCTGGAAGTCAGACATGGACAGCAACTTCTCAGGCAGCCAGGGAAGCTGGAACAGGAACATGTAATTTGAACGGAAGAGCTGGCCAATGTGGCGCAGAGAGTAATCTGGGGTGGAGGAGTTGGGGACAGGTGTGAGGCCTGGACCTGGATGGCCCCATACACCTGCCCCCCTACACATGCCCAGGTCAGGCACACAGGCTTCAGGAATGCCACCCAAGACTGCCTGAGTCTATGAAGACACTAGACAGCCCTCCTGGCCTAAGGTACCACCTTCCCACCCAGATAATGCTAGATAGTCACTACCCACTGAAATTCCTCTGGCTCCCCTGGTATGCATCCTGTGCTTAGGATGCATTTCCTCATTCAGCTAACATTTATTGAGCATCTACTGTATGTCAGGTCCTGTTCTAGACCCTGGAGACACAAAAGTGAATGGGACAGACAAAACTCCTTGCCCACAGGAAGCCAAGAGTCTAGAAAGTGAGACAGGCAAGAAATAACCACAAGAAGAGACTGAGAGAAGAAGCAGATGTGACTGCAATGCTGGGAACTAAAACTCAATGATGTGATAGCCGGAGATGGCATCTCATGCTACTGCAGTTGCTTAATTGTCTGTCTTCCCTGCCAGAAGAAAGCCATTTAACCTCTTTTGCCTCAGTTTCCCCTAACTGTAACATGGGGATAATAACACTTTCATAGGCTCAGGAGCCTTGAGTAGGTTACTGTATGCAGGCTCCCTATTACCTGCTCAAAGAATGTGGGTTACTCCTGTGTGCACTGACATCAATTTTATTTTATTTAATTTTATTTATTTTTTTTATATTATTATTTTTTATTATTATTTTTTTGAGACAGAACCTCAAGCCATCCCCCTGGGTAGAGTGCCATGGCATCACAGCTCACAGCAACCTCCAACTCCTGGGCTCAAGCGAGTCTCCTGCCTCAGCCTCCCAAGTAGCTGGGACTACAGGCGCCCGCCACAACGCCTGGCCATTTTTTGGTTGCAGCCATCATTGTTGTTTGGCGGTCCCAGGCTGGGGATTCGAACCCGTCACCTTAGGTGTATGTGGCTGGCGCCTTAGCTGCTTGAGCCACAGGCGCCGAGCCATCAATTTTAGATTGAGAAGTGCCATAGGAAAGGAACCCAGGTTCACTGCTGTCACACTAAACCTGGGGCATGTAGACAGGTGGACAGGGAATTGCAAACAGACACACACATACATATATACCCGTCCCTGCACACAGGCACATCCCAGACTCCCAGACTCCCTGACACACCTTGATACACTGACATGGGGGCACCACTGACCACAACCATCCGCTCCACCAGGGATGGGTAGTAGATGGAGAAATTCCAGGCAAGAAGAGCACCCCAGTCATGGGCCACGAGGATGCACTTAGAGTAACCTGAGGGACAGAGAAGCTGGTATAATAAGTGAGATGCCTGGTAGGTCTGTGGCAGGGGTGGGGGACATGAGTCCCAGCAAGGAGGAAGCATGAGTCAGGGGGCTGGGGAAAACAGGTGTGTACAGAATAGGGGAAGCAGTGCCTAGGATGGGGGAGTGTCTATACCCAGGCCTAGGATGATATCCTGGATATCAGCCATCAGCAGGTCAGTAGTGTAGCAGTCCACTTCCTGTGGTGCATCTGAAGGGCCATAGCCACGGAGGTCCACAGCCACGACATGAAAGCGACTCTGGAACTCCCGGAGCTGGTAGCGCCAGGAGAACCTGTCAGGTGGGTGTGGAGGGAAGTTGAGTCAAGACTCGCAGGCTACACCTCCACCCTACACCCAACAAGGACCATTGGCAACCCTACTTCCGGCTCCAGACTTCCCACAAGGGAGGATGGGGATACCCAGGCAGAGGCTGAGGCCACTGCACTCCAAATTCAGAGCAAGCTCAACCTCAATACCCCTTTGACCCAGCCCTTTAGGTCCTAGGGATCCCAGGTGTCCTGGTGCAGTCCCCTTATCCCTCTGGGCCCTATATGTTTTGTGTGTCCCGTCTATCCAGCCTTCATCTCCACCTCCTGGATGCCCTAGCAGTGAGTCGGAGTTCCATCTGTCCCCAGTGCCCTGTGCCACAGGGTCCTGGGCCCCAGACGTACCAGTTCTCCGGGAAGCCGTGCAGAAACAGCATGAGGGGCCCGTTACCTTGTCCAGCTGAGACATAATGCAGGCGCAGGCCGGAGCTCTGGTAGGGGAGGGCACCCATCTGAGGCCTGGGAAACTCCCCTTCCTAGGCTTGAACCTGAGGCCTCTGTACTGACTTGGGTTTGATTCAATTTATTCCCTCCCTGCTCCCCGCCAGCTCCCCAAAACACCCCTCCAACGTCCTGACAGGTCCTACCCAGCGCTCACCTTGAGGGTCAGAAAGCCGTGTTCGCCCAGCGACGGGTCGCTTAGGCAGGCCGGAGCCGCGCGCCGGCGGCGCCCGCAGCAGCCGCGCCGAGGCCGGCACAGCACGTGCGTAAGCGCGATGCAGCCGTAGACGGCTGCGGCCACCAGAGCAGCGGAGAACACGAGGCTCCACATGAAGGCGCGCAGCAGCTTCAGAGAGAGGCGCGACGGCGCCAGCAGCGCCGTCACCACCAGCTCCGGCATATTCCCGCGCTCTGGGTCGGCGGTGGTGCTGTTGTCAGGGGCTTTGGTCCGAGGCTCCGGCAACAGCGGCAAGGCTATACGCGGGCTGGGGAGCCCACTGCCTTTGGTCTGGAGCCCCTCCGTGTTGTCGGGGCTTGCAGGACGCGCTGAGGGAAGAGGTGGACTCTAGAACCGAAACCGACACAGACCACAACTCACCTAAATGCCAGATAAACAAACACCTGGGCGCGACAGGGACAAAGAAAAGGGATAGGGCGCGGGGGTGGAGCCTGCGAGGACCCCGCCACGGAGGCTGGGGAGGGGTTCATGGAGCAATAGAGAAATGGGCGGGGCCTAAGAAGCCTAGGCGGGGCTTAGTAGGACTCCAGCACCAGGTGCCGGGTGAGTATAAAGACAGCGGGGTGTGGCTCGGAGCCTATAGCTCAACCGGCTAAGGCGCCAGCCACGTACACCTAAGGTGGCGGGTTCGAATCCCCAGCCCGGACCCGCCAAACAACAATGATGGCTGCAACCAAAAAATAGCCGGGCGTTGTGGCGGGCGCCTGTAGTCCCAGCTACTTGGGAGGCGGAGGCAGGAGACTCACTTGAGCCCAGGAGTTGGAGGTTGCTGTGAGCAGTGAAGCCATGGCACTCTACCCAGGGGGATGGCTTGAGGCTCCGTCTCAAAAAAAAAAAAAAAAAAAGACAGCGTAGGAGCCCGGACAAACCTGGGGCAGGAAACAAGGGGGGGAAACCGTGGGGTCTGGGGAGGGGCGGGGCACATGCAGAGTGAGTGCGGCCCAGGAGCCGGAAAGGTGGACCCAACTTGGCCTAGGAGTGTTGTCAGGACTAGGGGGCGTGACTTGTGCTGGTGGGCGGGGAGTGATGGGTGGAGCCTAGAGGAGGTGAGGCCTAACATGAGGCAGCTAAGGCCGGTGGGGCTTGGGTAAGGAGGCTGGGCCAATGAAATAGAGGGCGGGGCCGGAACCTAATATGGCGGGGCGGGCGGGTCCGGAAGCGGAAGGGGAGGTTCAGGCTATGCTATGGCTCGGACTAGGGGCAAGCGCAGGTGGTCTCAAAGGCCCAAGGGAGCCTTGGCCACTATCCACCAGGAGCTCTCTTCCTCCAGAGCGAGAGACCTCCCCTCGGCCTGGCTCCGAAGAGCTAGCAGCGTTTCACCCAGCCCCAGTTCCAACGGTGGGTCCAGCGGCCTCAGCCCGGCGTCCTCCTCCTGTTGGCCCAGCAGGCCCTCTGGCCCGCCCGTACACGGCTGTGATTGGATGGCGGCGGCTATTGTGGTCCAAGTGACAGGTCCCAGTGGGGAGCCAATCCGCAGGTGGTGAGGCCAAGGCTCCAGTAGCGGCTATTAGAGGGAATGCCCTGACTGCTAAAGGGCAGGCTGGGCTACCTAGAAGAGGACCCGGCCGATTGAGTCACTGGGGCTCTGGCCGAAAGAGGAACGGGGACAGGACCGGACATGATAGGGCCTGGTGTCACAGACTCGTCCTTGCAAGGAACAGCTTCTCTCTCCTATTTTTGCAACTTTCCTCAAAGGTCATTTAACCCTTATAGCAATTCTTAAGTGTAGGTAGTATTTTCACATCCCTGTAATAGAGATGATGGACCTGAAATTCGAGGATGAAACCATTTGCCTGAAGCCACAAATCTCCATAAAGAGCAATCCAGAGTGGCTTACACTGAGACTGCAATCTGTCTCCACCTCCCCTTCCTATCTATCTTCTGGTGGTTACCTAGGTATTTCTAAATGTGCTTGTTAACTGTTGATTTACCAACCTGGGGTTTTGTCAACAGACCTCACATAACTACAACTGAACTTTTCTTCTATTGGTTTTCTCTTTGAACCATTCAACATCCTGCTACCTCCCCTCCTACCTCCCACTTTAATCCATATACCTTTGTATTTGTCAGGGCTGCTAAACATCATAGTGTCCTGGGACCATAATTAAGTCCATGAGGTTACTACTTAAAGGTGAATAATGGTTTATGGTGTTCTCAGTAAACAGTGCATCTCAGAGTAGAGTATCTATGATTACATTGCCCACATCATACTGTGTTTCCCCCCAAATAAGACACTGTCTTATATTTATTTTTCCTCAAGACGACTCACTAGGGCTTATTTTCAGGGGATGTCTTATTTTTATTAAGTGTAATGCAACAATCTACATTTATTCAAATACAGTTAAGTCATCTTCTGGAACCTGACAGGGGGAACCAACCTTGTTGGTGGGGCTGGCGCTAGTGATGCGTGAACTCCTTTCCCCTAGCCATTAACACGTGCGCAGGAGGATGCCTGTGACTGTGGTTACCACACGAGCACCCACTCAAATGGGAACGGCTGAGAGAAAGGAGCTGTGGCAGATAAAAGGTATTCCAGTCTTCCTTACCGCTCCGCACAGAAATGCATAGCATATCTAAATAGCCACACCCATCACTAGGTCTTATTATCCGGGCAACACGGTACAAACATTTGTTCTCCCTGGGCTTAACCACCTACCTTTCTTTTCTTGCATGATTAGCCTAGTATTAGCCTTTGGTTTCTTTTACATTTTCCATCAAATCAATTCTCTGACAATTTGTCGTTCTGGGGATCTCCCTGAGTTCTCTTCTGGCTGCACGGCTGGTGGGTGTCTAGGGACCTCCCTTCTTCCTCTCTACACATTACTGACCTCCACCCTCACCCCCTCCTCCCAATTCCTCAAATAAAAAGACAGCGGTAGTCACAGGAGGGTAACTTTATATTCAGTACAAATGTTTATTTTTGCAATGAGAACTGCACAAAAAAAAAAAACCTTTAGTATATAAGTGAAAAGTCTACGAATTCCCTTCTACAAATGTCTAAAGTGTTTAATACAAGTCTCAGATTCACTGACATAATTATTGGCCAAGCGATCCGTGCATACAGTACAGTGGGAGCTTGTACACACCTCTTACTCTTGTATAAGTCTAAAATTTCTAGTACTGTGGGAAGGATTGGGAAATGGCTGGAGAAATTAAATAGATCCCAGTTCTAATTACAACCCAGTTAGAGAACACCCATCAGGGAGGTGTGGAGAAGGCCATGGCAGAGTTCAAATCTTCAGCAGGAAGGTGCATATAAAACCATCTCTCCAGCTCAACAGTTGGACCAGCCTGGGGAAGTTTCTGAACAAAACCACCAACAAAAACAAGGAGGTGGGATGAGATGGAAGAAACCCCAAAGAACCAAAATGTCACACTTGAACCAGCACAGTGATATATAAGGAAGTGCCTGGGTGGGCAGGAACATAAAGGAAGCAAGGGGCCCTTGGCTGGATGCCTGAACTCTACAGCCTTGCTGTCAGACCTAAATGTAAGACAATAACGGGCCTTTCAGGTTGAAAAAGGGGGATGTAAGTTAATGTAACAGTGCTAGAAATGTTTCAGTTTGTCTCAGCATACATATAAATTACATACTTGTATTTTACATCCTAGGGGCTGTTCTTGGGCACCACCTGTACCTGTGGGTAGGGCATGTGCATACAGGTGGGCACATAGGCAGGGCTGACTGGGAGGCCACTTGTGGGCATTCTTGGGATGTGGCATTCTTGGAATGTGTATGTGTATGTGCATGGGGGGGATGAGGATCCTATTTGGGGGGATGTACACTTATCTAAGAATATCTGATTAACCCTGAGCTTAAATGAAAGGAGTTAGGTAGAGGCAAGCAAGGTAGAAGTGGCCCAAGTCCTTTGGTGAATGGGAGACCAGGATGAAGGAAGGTGAAGGAGAAGAATACTATCTGGAGTTTGGCCAGAGTTCTGCTGAAGCATGTCACCCACCTAGGTTAGGGTCTGTAAGAATGGGTGCCTGGGCTCCACGTCACAGCTTCAGCTTGGGGTGGCTGTTATGAGCCTGAGAGGCTCTCTGTTCCCAGGAAAGCAGGGACAGGCTACCAGAAAGAGGCATTCTTGTACAGAGGTGGTCTGGGGTCCAGGGGAGCCCCTGGGCCTAGCCTAGGCAACAGTTGGTTCACAAAGAAATGTCAGGGAGACACCGTCATTAAAAAAGAGAGATGTGTTTATTCCATGATCAGTACAGACCAAATGCATATTCACTGTATGAAAGTCAAACCAGTCAGTGACTCCAAAGTTTGGCCAACACTGAGGCACCAGCGTTGTGGTGGTAGAGTGGGCTCTCATGGCACGCATAACCTCACCAAGGGCTCCAATTACAAAATTAAAAAAAGTGTGGGAAGGGGCAGCCAGCTGTTTGGGTCTGGGCGCAGGGCTGAGGAGCCTCTGCCTCGGTCTGTGGTACCCCTGCCCCCACAGCGCCTGGTGCCCACTTTGTCCCCTGGCCCTTCCTTTATTAGTAAAAAAAAACAACTCAAACAGATTTGACATTAAAAAACAAGCCAACAAATGGGGGAGGGGGAGGAGGAGAGAAGGGGAAAGAAAAGAAATCGCAGCTTTCTGGTTTTATAATTAAAAATAGACTAATAAAGTTTGAAACTGAGTAAAATATAGGCAGGCTTTTTTTGCATTTTGTTCTTTTTGTGGATTTTTTTTTAGGTTTTTTTTCTTTTTTTTTTAACATCCGTTTGGTGGAGTCACCAACAAACTTCCAACAAAGATATGCCAACTATGTTCACTATACAGTACAGCCACGGTCACACACTACCCACAGCGCGGTGGTAGCCGCTGCTCAATGAGGAGACGATCACACCATTTTGGAGATAAGCAGTGCCATTGTGTCTGGAGGAGAAGAAAGAATTAAAAATAAAATAGAATTCAACAACAAAAAAAATATATATAGGGGGAAAAAAAAAAAACAGAAACACAGGTGGGAAGGAACTGACTTTGGTTGGTGGCCTCACTCCCTAGGCAAGGCCTGCCCACACACGCATGGGACAGTTACCTTGCCCCAAAATGCCATGGACACACACACACCTCCACGGCACTATTCCCTTTTGCACAAGCGAACACTTACAGAGAGCGGCTCTCGATTAAAGGCTTGTGGGGGGAGGGGAGGGGTGGGATCTGTTCAAGGCAAAGTCAGTGCCAGCAAGGGGGTGGGCCTGCCTTGCCCACCACCAGCCCACACGGGCCTGCCCTGGCCTCCATGGAGTGGGCGGCAAAGGCTGGGGTGTGGGGAAGAACTCCTGGTGGGCAGGACATCACAAACATCATCTTGTCAGGGACAGAAAACCAGTCACGGTGGCGGCAGCAACGATGTCCTGTGTATACTGTGTAGACATTTGGCGGAGAGAAGGGCCTCTGCCCCACACCTGGGACGCAGGGCTTGGGTCCGGCCGGCACTTGCTCATAACAAGGCGTGCTCTGACGTCCTGTGCAGGGTGGCAGGTGGCAGGACATCTGTCCGGCTGGCCGTAAGGCAGACAGGCTTTGCAATCCTCAGCTGCCATCAGGCCTGCCCAGGGCATAGCATGCAGGAGGGCCAGGCCCAGAGGCACCCCCTGGCTGCTGCTACTGCCTCCACTGCCGCCCCTAACACTATGGAAAGTCAACGTTTTACCAGAAAATCAATGTCAGAAGTCACCTAGGTGCTCTCAAAAAAGATTTTCTTCAAATATTGACAATAGATCACTCTGGAAGTTCATGTCAATGGTAGCTGCCATCTGAAGGAGAGAGGAAGGAGGGAGTGAGGTGGGGTGACTAGCCCCACTGTGGCTCCAAGACCACCTCCCTACCCTTGCACTATAGGAGCCCTCAGAACTCCCCCTGAGCTGTTCCCTCACTGCCTTTTGTGGTTCTTCATGGTACTGAGCCATCTATCCTCTAAGACTGAAGGCCAGCCTGCACAGACCAGTAGGGCCTGGGCTCCCTGGCACTTCACCCTCTCCAGGTTCCAGGTCCCCATTCCCAGGAGGAATATCCTTTGAGGGATATACCCTTGACTCACCGCTTCCCGGCGCCTTCGCTCCTGCTCCCGCTTCCGGGCCAGTTCCCTCTGCTGGTCCAGCATGGACTGGGGCTGGGAGCTCTGGGCCTGGGGGGCAGCGGCAGCAGCTACTGCTGCTGCCTGTTGCTGCTGCTGCTGCTGTTGCTGCTGCTGCTCCTGGCGCTGCTGTTGCTGCTGCTCCTGGCGCCGGCGTGCTTCCTCATGGGCCCGCCGGGCCTGTTCCAGCGCATCTTCATCTTCTCGGTTCCTAGACACAGCAAAACCTATCAGCCTAGGGGGCACAGTGTAACCCCAGGAGTCCTGCACTCCACCCAGAGCCCTGCCCACCTCATGCGCTCCTGTCGAAGCCGCTCCTTCTCCTTCTCAGCATGCTCAGCCTGGGCCTTCAGAGCCTTCTCACGCTCCTCCTTCTCCCGAGCAGCGCGACGAAACTGCTCAAAGCTGTCACTCGATGACTTGGCTGTGGAGGATGGGGTGGTTGGATGCTTCTGTACCAGACTGGCCCAGGAACCCATGTTCTTGATTTTCAGGTCCTGCAGGGCAGAGAGTCCAGGAGCAGGTAATGCGCCTGCTGTCCCTAAAGACCAAGGCAGCAGGATATGCCCCCACCTGGGTACCTTCCTGGGGCAAGAGGCACTCATGGGCATATTACCCTTACCTTTTTAGGTGCAACTGGAGTTTTTGGCTCCTGTTTCTGTTTATCCTTGTCAGGGGCCCCTGGCGGGGGTGCATTCTGCTCAGGGGGCCGGATCACTGGCCTCCCAACGTCCACAGGCTTCATCTCTGGCCCTAGAACACAAATAGTCCATGGGCTCGGTCCACCGGCCCCACAACGATCTCATGTCCAATACGGGCCTGGGAGCCTGAGTCCCAGCTGTGGGCAGGGATGGCACTCACGCTGGGGCAGGTGGACGGGAGCCTTGATGCTCTCCGGGTGCTTGGGGGGTTCCGGCCGCAGCGAGGGGCTGAAGGGCTCACTACGGATGATGGGTGAGTGAATCTTCTCCTCCTTCACCACCACAAGGGGCTGGGGCTGGACCACAGAAGCTGTACGCAGCTCCTGGGATGGCACAGGCACAGCAGCTGGTGAGGTGGGCAGTTGCCCCCAGGCCCAGCCCACACCTGGCCCTGTGGCCTTGGCCTAGCCTTGCCCTTTTTACCTTCTTAGTCTGGACATTTTGCTGGGGTGGAGACTGGTGGGTCAGGCTCTGGAACTGTGGCATCTGGGGGGAATGTATCATAAGCGGGGAGGGAGCTTCACGGAGATGACCTAGGAGAGTGGACAAGAAGCATGTCAAGGGTTGGAAGGCCACCTGGGCCTTCAGATAGTCATAATGGGGTAAAGGACAAGATGTAAGTGGAAATAGCACGTGGCCGGCCATCCACGCCTTGGGGCAAGAGTCCACTGGCTAGTCAAAAAAGTGGGGATCCATGGAAGTCCCTGAAACTGGTAAGGATAAGATCCCTCCCTGAGGCTGGGCAACCCCAACACCCTGCACATAGCGCCCCTGGGCCTGCTCAATCACACTCAAAACTCAGCATACAGCACACTCCCAAAAGCCCTAAAGTTTTGGTCCTAGTGTTTGATCCTCCTGTGTCAAAATTACTTGTAAAGCTTCGAAAAACATAGATCCTGACACATCTGGTCTCCAGTGAGGTCTGTATATCCAGTATTGTCCACCCCTGTGAAGCTCAACCCAGGCTCCTGCCTTTCCCTGTGTGGCCTGTTCCCTACGGACGGGGAATCTCAGGATTTTCCTCATAGTCTTGCTCTGTAACTTAGCCTAAGTGGCCCACTATGCAATGTGGGGCACCTGCCACTAACATCCAAGCCAAGGCTGAGAAGAATCCAGGCAGCCACAGGTGCAAGCCTGTGGGGGAAGGGAACAATGGAGCACTTAAATCTAACTCCTCAGCTTTAGCAGTGGGCAAACAGAGCCCTGGAGGAGCCAAGTACTGCCCATCCAACATGTGGACACTCTCTGCTTCAATCCCTGTGAGAAAGGGGCCTCCGTATCTTGTCCATAAGAAGCAGCTGCTTGTTTCTCTGCCATGCCCCTGTGCCTGGTCAGGTCCCATGCCTCATGTTCAACTTCAGCTCCCTGTGTTAGCCCTTCCACTGACTTCCTCTGGAGCCTGCTTCCAAGCCACTGTCTGCCAGGACAGGCACCCCTGGGTTTCCTACAGGACCCACTGCTAGAGGTATTGTTTTTGTGGGTGTGGAGCAGCTTGTAATGCCCCAGGTAGACCCATTTGCCTCTCTCTAGAGTCAAGGCTTGCCCCTAACCCCAGAAAGTTATCAAAGCTGCTTAAGACCTTATAATGGTGAGGCCCCAAGTCCATGTGTCTGGTTCTGTTGGCTATGACATTTCCTCTGGTCCTAGCACATTGGGGCCACTTTGGATACTACCATCCCTATTTGGTGCTGGGAGGCCGTGGGTCTGTCCCCCCTCCCCCCAGTGATCAACAGGCACATTACTGTGATAGTCTCCCACCTGGGATAGCAGCCTCGGGAGCACCTGCTGAGGTTGACCTGGGCAATAGTGGGCTGTCAGGCTTGTGGTTTACAGGAACCACCCGTCTGCTGGCAGCTTTAGAGGGGAAGCACAGTGGTTCAGGGATGGCACCTGAAAGGTGACTAGGTACCCAGAGATGTCTGCTGACCTTCTTTGGGAGTCTGACAACTTGGCTTTTGACCCAAAGTCCCCAGCAGGGTTCTAATCCACACTACTTCCTATACCCCATCCTAGAGTACCCCATCCTCCTATACCTCCTAGCTAACAGGAGCTAGGGTATGGACCTGGGGTCTTAAAGCAGAGTGGGCCAGAGGAAACCTGCCCTGGCCCCTGTAGGTCCTAGGTATACTTGAATGCTGGCTCTTCTGCAGGACTTGCATCACCTGTCCATCACCTTTCTCACAGGGAAACCCAGGATAAGAACAGGCACAGGTACATGGCTGCCAGGCCCAACACCAGCATTTCCCAGGGAGACAGATGGCTGCTCTCTTGGCTCTGAGTATGCAACAATCCACTTGTCACCAGGGTGAATTGTGGACTTTCGCTGGGTTTAGAATCAGTCACTGCTTTGTTGTTCAGTTTGCAGGTAGCACCCAGTGCACCCCAGACAGACTGTACAGTTGACACGGCCGAGTCGCTGACCCTGGAGTATCACTGTGTCATAAGGCATCAAGTAGAATGTTCCCCTATCAGGGCACATTAGTTATTGACACTTCAATGCTCCTGCCCAAGTGCTCCCCACCATGGTGCTATGGCTTGCCAAGTGGGCCTTGCAAGGTCAAGAACAGATTCCCCTGCAGCCTCTACATGCCTCAGTGGCTGGATGTACCCATTTTCATGGGCCTGGAGCAGACCACAATACCCCTAGCTTTGTCTGAACCCCAAAGCCTCTGAGGCTCAGTTCTTAGCCCACTCCAGCCTAAAGCACAGCTAACCTTTCTGGCTTCTCCAGGACAAAACTCTGGGCTTCCCCAGAGTCCTGGATTAGGGAGCCACTTACCAGTTGAGTAGGGGTCTGACTTGTGATGACGGGGTGAAGGATGATGCTGGATGACTTGTTGAGGCTTGGCAGGCTGAGGTGGGGGTGGCTGCTGGCCTGGGGGTGGATGGGGAGGCTGCTGGCCCTGGGGTGGTGGGGGCTGCTGGATGTGGGTGGGGAACTGCATGGGCTGCAAGTGTACAGGCCGAGGCGGGGGCTGGTGCTGCTGCTGGGGTGGGGGCTGGGGCTGGGGTGGTGGTGGGGGAGGTGGCTGCTGCTGTAGCTGCTGAACAGAGGGATGGGGCTGGGGGGGCAAAGGGGGTGGGGGCTGGGACTGCACCTTCACAGAAGGGAGTAGTGGTGCAGGGGGCTGCACCTTCTGCAGCTGTTGCAGGTACAGCTGCATCTGCATGGAGGTGAGGGGTGGGGCAGGTGGCTCTTCATCCTCTAGTAGCACTTGAGGGGGTTGAGCCATGGGGGGTTGTGGGAGCAATGGGGGCTGGGCCAGGGCAGGTGACACAGCTGGGGGCCGGGCAGGCTTGGGAGGCAGGGCAGCAGCTCGGTTGCTGGGCCGTGATGGCTGCTGGGGCAGCGCATTGTGCAAAGCTGGAAGGACACAACACCAAGATGGTAAGGTCTGAATTCCTGTGGCCCTAGTCTGGCTTTTCTACTCCATCCTGACCTTGCCTGAACTCTAATAGCCTCCCTCCAACTGAGCTCTCCCCACCCTCCACAGCCCCAGAATATAGGATAAAGACAGGAAGAGTGCTAGGCCCTTGGCCAGTGTCTTTCTGAATTACACTTGGTCTCCTTGTCTCCTCATCCCCCATACTCATGCTGGCCCTCAGGTCTCGATGCAGAGCCCTGTCACCCATTCACATAGCCCTTTCCCAGCTCCCTAGGCAGGCAAACCCTGTCCTTATACTCCTCAGGTACTGTCCAGGCTTCCAGAGGGGAAATCTGATTGGGATGATGTGTCTCCCCATCTCCAACCAGGAGCTACATATAGAGGGAGCCTATCTTTTCTCATCTAACACAAAACCTAGCCTAGCAGAAACTGAAGCAAAATCTTCTGAATCAACATGCTAATAACTCCATGCAAGTTGTGCCCTGGGGCATCTTTAATTTCCAAGATGGCCCAGAGTGGCCAGTCACTGTGTGGGAGAACATCTGGGAAGGCCATGGCTCACCTGGAGGAGAGACTACTGCATGCTGGTTGAGATGGGGTGGAGTGCTGTGCTCAGGCGGCTGGGGCAGGTGAGGGGGCAGCTCGGGCTGCGGCAGATGCAGAATGGGCTGGGTGAAGTGGCCGATGGGGTCAAAGACGCTACCCGGGAGCTGGGGCTCTAGGACAGGCACCTGGGTGGCAATGAAGGGTGGGGGCGAGGACTTCATCGCAGGAGTTGTTTGCTGTGGCAGGGAGGGTGGGGCTGGTGGGGGTGGGGGCTGCTGCTGCTGTTGCTGCTGCTGTGGAGGGGGAGGGGGCTGGGGCTGCTGTGGTGGCGCGGGTGGCTGCTGGGGTACAGGGGCTGGGGCCTGCTGCATCTGCTGATGGTGGTGGTGATGGTGCTGCAGATAGAAAGAAAAAAAGGCTCACATCAGGCAGGTGGGACTGGCTTAAGCCAGAGCCAGGGTCCTGCCGGGGCCCACCAGCCAATGGAGGACACCTGTGAGCCCACGTACCTTCTTTTGCTCCCTCCCAGGGTGCCCCTTCTTTTTTGACTTCGGAGCCATCTCTGCAGAGGAAAAGAGAAGGTGGTGAGGCTCTAGGAAAGAAGAAGCTGAGCTGGTCTTGGATGCAAAGAGGATGCATGTTCAGGAGAGGGGCCAGTGATGCTGAGGGGGTGGCCAGGTTCAGGCCAGAATGAGCTGGTCATCACAGAAAAAGGAAATTACATATGAGGCATCACCTACTCATTTGCCTGTTGCTTTTCCTTGCAGGGACTGTGCCTGAAAAATCCTCTCCTGCCAAGCTGCACACCTGCCAGACTGACCCATGGCTACATGGGTAGAGGCTACCGAGCCTCTACCCAATGCCTCCCCCTACTTGCAGGTCAGACACTGCTCTGGTGATTAAGTGCCTACATGCTCTAGACCCTGACCTGCTGTTTTGGAACAACCTGTGCTGTTGGAAACGATCACATTCATCTGAAGAAAATAAGGCTCTGGGAAGTGATTTGTTCAGACTCTCACCGTTAAAAAGCAGCAACTTAGGGGTCTCCCAACTACATGGCCCACTGAGGTTCACTCCTTCCCATCCTCCAAGAGAAGTCAGGTGGGAGTGATATGGAGGCTGGTATGGGGCATGGCTTGGCCATAAAGTCATGGGAGGGTTGAACAAGGTGCCAGCAAGTAGGAATGTTAAGACCCATGGTATGAGAACTTTCTAGGAGGGAAGAAAGAAGGCTGGTCTACCTAGAATGACCAGTAACGAATGCGGTAGGTGTTCACTGCCATAGCTATCACAGGATGACCCTGGCCAGCTTCCCCATGCTCAGGAGAGATGGACCTCAGATAAGTCCCTGCTTAAGGCAGGCAGTACCTGTCCTGGCTCCTCAGAGACCAAAAGCTTGGTACCACAGCTGCATGGATGGGTCCTACCTCTGTCCCCACTCCAGATAATTATGCTAAGGGACTTTTTCCAGCCAGATGCCCCCATGCCAAGCATGGATGATGTATGAGCCCAAGAGAGGGAGATGAACCCTGGCCAGTGCTCACAGGCTGGCAGGTAACATAGTTGCCTACCACTGGGTGGGAGGCTGCACCCACAGCATGGTGCTTTTAGGATACCTGTCACTGAAAAACACCTCATGTTTCTGCCTGGTTCCCCTACCCTGCCCTGAGTTCTTGCCAGGGTGCCAGCTCTTGCTGGTGTTGGGAGGACACACATGCTTTGGCCAAATCAAAGATACCTCCACTTGGATCTGCTTTGTGAAAGGTCATGCTAAACTTCTGTGAGGTGCATGGCCTCCAGGGTGTAGTGTGCTACCAAAAGGGCTAAGGAGGAACCCCATGCCCCGTTAAGAGCTCAGCACTCCATATACGAGACAAGAGACAGACAAACCCCAGCAGATAGGGACATATGTCCTCAGACAAATGGCAAAAGGGAAGCAACTGGGAACACCAAGGAACTAGGGGCCCAATCGCAATCCTGGATGCTGGGACCCAGAGCTCCAAACTATTTGGGTCAGAGTATGAAATCAGGTGAAGGGTTCTTTCATGGGTGAGATGTACAAAAAAGGGACAGTTAGTGTAATGTAAATATTCAGGGTCAGGGCAACAAGGTATCTGGCTGCTGTAGCATGAGAGAAGCACTGGCTACAGAGACCCCAGGACCAGAAGAAACCTGCACCCCAGGGGAGATGCAGCCATTGGAGCCCTACTGCCCACTGAGCCAGGGGAACAGGAGGAATTAAGCTGGGGCTTCTCTGTGACAGCCTTCTCTTCCAGGACTGACCCCAACATAAGGAGGTGACAGAGCCAGGATGGCTGAGGCAACTGCTCCAATGCTGGGCACATCTTTGTGGGAACCTGAGGATAGGAGAGGGAAGACGAGGGAAGAGGGGTGACCAGAAGACTCAGAAACACGCCAGATGCCACCATGTCATGGAGAGAAGCTGGAGGTTGGAGGTCAGGAAGGGTCAGGCTCTCACAGCTTGGAGTAAGACTTTTTTCTCCTACTACGTGTACTAAAAGAAGGGTGGTTGCTCTGAACCCTCGCCATCTGCCTGGGCTGTGAGGAGAGGCAACAGGAGAAGCCATGGGGACAAAGTGCAGTGTGGGGCCTGTTGGGGGTGGGGTTCCAGGGCGTATGTCTCAGCTGTTTGGGAAAGGTCATAGGGAGCATTATAAGGCTTATCTCCAGGACCCCTTGGAAATGCTGGGGCACCTGGGCAGGGCAGGCCTGGAGTTGGGGAGAAAAGGCAGGAGGCGCATAGCAGTCTAAGGTGACTAAAGGGGTAGGGGCCAAGGGGTGCTGGTGCTGGTTAGAGACCAGCCCTGTCTGGCTCATGTGGCCCCAGCTTCGTGTCAGTTACCAGTAGGACAAGACGGGAAGTGCACAGCTTCACAACAAACCAGCCCCGAGACACCCCCCACACAAAACTCTCTAGAAAGGGTTACATGAAGATGGCCTCAAGTATGGTGTGATCTTTATTCCATGACAATCTTCAACTCAACACAAATTTCATCTTTACATAGGATGGTAATTGTACAAAGAAATAAAATATTTTTGTAAAATCTGATTAAAACACTGATTTCTCCCATCCCAACACCCCGCTCCCCCAGGCCCCACTCCAGCAAAGGAGACAGGATGGAGGGCAGAGCCAGAGCAGAAGGGGCAGAGCCCTCACCTGCACTGACTGGCTCCCACCCACCCCTACCCACAGCTCCTCAGGACCCACAGCCAGCTGGTGTATCCAATGCCTGGCACGTCTCGCTGCCCACACACACAGGAGGGTGCCAATATGAGGTGGGCACTCTCCTCTCTGGCTCTGTTTCTGGGGCACCTGGCACACGTGATAAAGTCTAAAGAGCTTTCAAGTTCAATGGGTCCTGAGTGTTCTCTGCCAGTGGAGCCCCACAGGCAAGAAGGCCCTGATTCCTAGGGAAAGCCTATGGCTATAGCCCACATTGGACAAGTGGAAATAGGGGCAGCATGTCATAGGCCCCACCCTGTGGGAATACAAGCTGCCATTTGGTCCAAGACAGCAGATCTTCCCAGAAAGACAATGACAGCAGCTTCCCAACTATCCTGTGGGAATCTCTGGGCATGAAGGCTCCCCCGCCTGCTTCCAGCCAGGCCAAGTTGTACTGGGAACACATCAGGTGTGGGCCAAAGGGCAGCTCAAAATAGTCTATTTGGCAAATGGAGCTTGACTGGAAGCTGGATGCCCAGAGATGAGGAGTAGCCTTGGGACTCCTGAGCATTGTTGTGAGGGTCTGGTGAGGCAAGACCCTATGGTCAGGGCAAATCTGGGGCATTTGAGCAAAAGACCCAAGGAGCAGGGAAGAGCTGCCATGGCTTCCCCAGGCAGACGAGGAGGTAGTACCCCAGTGTCTATGAATGTAAGCTCCCAGCTCCAGGAGAATGCAGGCTTAAGATGCCAGGAGATGGGCAGGTTTTTAGCAAGTACACACGCACCACAGTTTAAAAAAGGAGGGGGAAAAAAAGAAGGTCCCTAAACACAGATGTAGTTCCCTAGGGGACTTTATGTCAGGCAGTTTTCTGCTGAGATGCTGGATTTGTGACCAAAAAAGGACTGATATTTATTTTTACAGCAAAAGCCTATTCAGTGCCTCTGGAGAGCTTACATGATGTGGTCAACCTTGCCTCCCCCAAAAGGATGTCCACAGTGGTAATGCCCCTCAGATGTGCACTGAGTAGCCCTGAGGGCCTGTGACACCCTCTCGTTGACTAGCCCAGATCCTGACCCTACTGGGGGTAAGGATGACGGGCCTGAGGGCCTCTCATCATGGCCTGCCTGGCAGCTCCTGCATACTGCAGCCTGCTTCACAGAGCAGACTGCTTCCGTCACCTGGGAGCGCTAGGTAGCTGCCTAGGAGGTACTTCCCCTGTGTGACTTAAGAAGAGGACAAAGAAACTGGGAAAATGCCTGCCAGGTAACATTAGCTTTTGGACATGCACAGGAACAATGGAGAGGAAGGACTTCAGAAGGCTGTGGGTCAGCTGTGGCTCGAGCCTCAGAGGGCACCAGATAAGAAGGTGTGTTGTGGGGTAGCCCCACCAAGCCTTCAAGGCCCAGTGGGCTCACTGCTAAAGCCTGCACTCCTCATTTAGAACAGCTCTGGAAACCAGAGTGTTCTTCCCCACAATGAATGAGAGCTCTCCTGGGCTAATGACACTGAGAGGTCCAGGAGAGAAGTAGTTAGGGTCCAGAGTCCCAGAAAAAGAGGAGGTGATGAAGAGAGAAAACACACTTGGACTTGGGACCGGGCTTTGCACATGAACAGCACCACATGTACGTTATCTGTGGGGGATTGTCATCACCCTCCAGGAGATGCCACCCTCCAGGAGAACCCCAGGTGACCAGGGAGGCTGGGTGGGATAGCCAGGCAGTCTTTACACAGGAAGGCCTGGGCGGCTGGCCAGGCAGGCAGCCTTCCCGAAGGCGGGACTAGGTGTGTGCTGCTGGACATGACTAATCCACCCCGGGGGATAGGCCCAGGCCTCTGAGGAATTCCATAACTTGATGGAGTCCTGTCCCTTTCACGGAAGAAAATGGACTTAAGCTATAGCTTGCTGGGAAGGAATCTGGAACTGAAGACCGTTTTATTAAGAGTCCGTGTCCAATGATTAGGCAGGACCTACGTAGAGGGAGAGAGAAACCAGTGTGAGAGAAATGGTGTGGAATGTACCATTCAAGTCACAAGAACAGAAGAACCGCAGACCAAGCCAGCCTCCTGTGCCCTGGTGACTGGCAGGGCATGAGAACAGCATTTGAGACTAGGAGTCCCACCCCCTTCCTGGCCAGGCCACAGATCCGGCATGGGTGGACATCTCCAAAACTACCCTGAGACTGTTTACGCTGCTAGACAGAACAACTCTCACTAATGAGATCCATGTGTCCCGCCTGAGCACACACTGGCGATTCCTTCACTGCTCCTGAAGCTGCTTCTTTTGAATGTGAGAGATGTCTTGCTCTGTCCCACCAGCCACCACTGCCTCTGAGCTTATCTCCCCTGGGGGGGCTGCATGTCATTTCATCTCAGGAAGTCTCACGATCTCTGAGGAAGGAGACGCTGGAGTACAAGACCTCCAGTTGAGGGAAGGAAAGAGAAAACAGCCTCATCTCTACATTCCTTTAGGTCCCAAAAACCAAAAGCACAAGCTGTAAAGGGTTGAACCAGGAACATACACTATTGAGAAAGGGGCGGGGAAAGGGAAACAAACAGGGCAAGGCAGAATAGTTCTTGTTCTTTCTTTTCCTTTCCAGGGCATCCAACATTACCTCCCTGGACTAGGGAGGGGCACTAGGCACATTCCCACCCACACAGCAGAACGGATGCTTCTGTTGGAGTCACAGATGCAACTGACACACTATCCTTGGGCCCCCAAGTGCGCGCATGGGAAAAACCCGCCCACTCTCACTCCAGGCCACATTCCACAAAGCTCACCCTTGCCCATCTGTGAAGCCCCAGAATCCCTCCAGCCACAACTCCTACAAGGGTATGTGTGAGATGTCACCTAGCTGTGCAGACAAACTGGCTACAGATATATCTGCCAGGTCTCTTCCTACCACTCATACAACCCCCTCCAGGGGCCTAACCTCTTCCTCCACAAGGCAAATACTAAACTCTTGGAGCTGGCCTAAAGACATGACTGGGAATGAGTTCCTCAAAGATCCTGGGGGTTAGGAAGCTGAGGCTAGCTATGTGGTAAGAACACCCCATGGCCTCTATCTGCACTTCCCGGCTCTAATCTTTCCAAAACATTGAGCATTCCTTTTTCCCCTGGAGCTATTAACAAACACCCACTCGCTCCAATCCTGGGAAAAGGAAACCAGGAGACAAAAATAGCTGGGCTGTGCTCTTGCTTCAATTCTAAGACCAGGCCAAAGTCAGGGAAGGTTGCCGCCCCCACTCCGGTCTCCCTGGCCCCAACCCGACCTGTGGAGTTGGGGGTAGAAAGTGCTTTTGAGAAGGACTCAAGCTGTGGGGTACTCCTGCTCACAAAGATCTGTGGATAGCATTTAGGAAAAAGAGCCAGACATCAGCAACATGATGAATAAAAGCTGGAGGATGGTGTCCTAGGACACGCCCTGCCCACCATCTGGGCAGACCCAATCCCAACACTGGTGACAGCAAAACCACAGCTCCGCCCCTAGTCCACCTAGAACAGCAATGGGAAGGGGAGAACCATACCTCCCTCCATCAGCTTATCCCGCTCAGGTCTACAGATGCCCTGGGGTAGAGGGTGACATTTGTGCCCCATCTTTGCCTGCCCCAATAATGAACTGTCAGGCAATTCTGGGTTTAAGCCAGCCCTGTGGCTCAATGGAAGGCTACAACCCTACTAGTAATAGCTGGGTTCAGAGGAAGTGGTGGGGCTGGCCTCTAGAACTGCATGTTGCTGGGGAGGGAGACAAGGGAATACATGGGGGCCTGGGACCAATATGAGAAAGTAGCCTCCCCCACTCTCCTCCCATCTATCCCATCTATGCATCACCTCCCTGAACTATATAGCCTGGCTCCAGAGGACCAGCCCCACATCCAGATCAGTCCATAGAATTTGTGATTATGGATACCTGCCAAAAAAGGGGTTCGTGTACCCCTTGACTCCCACTCCAATCTAGTGCCTCTTTTTGGTTTCTTTTGGTGATTCATGTCTCAGGGCTGTGTCAGCAGAACTGACCCTTAGTACAAGTGACAAAAATAGGCCCTTTCAGGAATTTCGGCTCCAATCCAAATGGAAACACAAGAACAAGGAGGGCAAAACAAGTCCCTAAAGACCAAAGAAAAATACCTTCAATGCCCACCCCTGACCCCCGCTCCCCTAAGACAGAGATGCCTGTAACTACCCATAGACACTAGGGCTGCCTGGTTTCCTAAACCCAGCAGAGCAGCTGCCCATAATCCCTATTAGGAAGACTGCATGGAACTGGTGCTGGGTTGTGGATTTCCACTTGGGATCTGCTGCACAAAACCCACGAAACAGGCCCTTCCTGAGAGCAGACATGCCAAGCTGTCCCAGCCAGAGTTCATCTAGCGTACACAGAAGGCAAAGGAAAAGCTCCTGTTTGATGGGCAACTCTGCAGGCTAGGATAGTGAAGACAAAAGAAGCCAGGCAAAACCAAGGTGGGAAGGAAGTCTGGGAAGTGGAGGAGCCAGAGCTGAAGCAGCTGAGAGTAGGCCACGGCTATACTCCCAGAGTCTGGCAGCTACAAGCAAGCTCCAAGACTATAAATCTTGTCCTCCTTCCCACCAGAACAGCTGTTCCCAGGACTCTCAGATTACTTGTTGCACAACCTTCCTACTTTCTTTGGGGGTAGGGGTGAAAAAATAAAAAAAATCTCAGCAGCAGGGAGTTGCTGGAAATGCCGTCCATCCCCACAGTAGGTGGCAGCAGGAGGGGTGCAGGGCACTCAGGAAGCAAGGAGTCTTCCTACCTAAAGCAGAGGGGCCCAGAAGGAGGACACGGGGACCAGGGACAAAGGCCACAATCACACACCCTTAAGGGGCCTTGTCAGGGCCAAAGCAGTTCCCTCAGGGCCAAGTCATGTTGTTTTAGTGATCAAGTCCCCTGTCAATTTCAGCTTTTGGAGTTTTCTTTGGTTCACTTGGATACCTAGACGAAAAAGGTTACAATACTCCTGGTAAAAAGCAATCTGGTAGAAAATGCAGAAGGCACAAAAATCCAAAGAAAAGACAAACCCAAGACTTGGCTGGCACTGCAAGTGAAAAGTCAGTGGCTACTGGGAATGCTAATTGAACCCAAGAATACGGCCATTCACCCTGCTGAGGGCAAGAACCTTTCTTGTACAGCCATGGGGTGTAGTGCCCTCTGCTGGCTGATGGATAAAATACAATGGGGGATGGGTTAGAGAATAAAGGAAAGGGTAAAGGATGGTTGAGAGCCACTGGTCCAGTGAGCTGCCCGGTGTATTTTCTGCACATGATCATGCTAAAGACATAGAACATGGCATAAAAAAGTTCATCTCATTTGGGCCCATCAAAAATGAGATAGTCTAGGGCATCTGGAATCCTGGAAGATCTCTCAGCCCACCCCCAAGTGAGACCCCTCACTCACTGGGAAGCAGAGGGCACTAGGCTACCTGAGACCCAGAGGCACTTCTGCCCTCACCCAACCTATGCAAATATACCTCAGAGCAAAGTGGCTCTTCACAGGCCACGGATCCAGCATGGGTGGACATCTCCAAAACTACCCTGAGACTGTTGACGAGCTATGAGGAATCAACTTTTGTTGGCACAAAGTGTTATTTATATGCACTGATTATGTAGTATTTGGCACTTATTTCATTAGAATAAAATTCTTGAGGTGGAATAAATAAGTTCATGGAATAAAGTGTGCCAAGAGTGTTTCACCGCCCATACTTTTCCCCTGTGGGTCTGCATTCCCCAGTCTGCTTTGTGGAGTGTACCAGGGACCAGGGACTCTAGGGCTGGTTCTCAGTGGTCTGTAGCCCACCCGTTCAGCTGATGGAGCTGCTGCTGGTTGCTCAGTGGCAACCTCACTTGCCCTATCCCTATACTGTCAGCTCCACCTCACAGTATGCACTGATCACCAGACCTCCTGAGTAGCAACGGCTTCTTCCCCATCCTGTCCTCCAGGCCAGTCTGAGCTCTGCTCCACTAAGAATAATGAAGAAAAGTACACACCTGAAAGAAAGCAGCCCCCCACCCCCACCCCGCTTCATGGCCCCAGCTCTCAACACCTCCTACTCTGAGCTACAAGGCTGCAGCTGAGGTGGTGAGCTCTGACTGGGTGCTGGGAGCAGATATGCAGGGCCCATGGAGAGAATGGGGTACTGTTAGAAGTGTGGGACACTAGTATCCAAGTGTGAGCTTAGTCAGGAACAAAGTCAGGAGCGGCAAGAGTGGAAAATCACACTCTGAGGCAGAGCGGGGAAGAATACAGAGACCTGGTGACAAGGGGTCAAGAGCAGACTGGCTATGCCCTCTGCCAGTTGCAGGTGGCTTCACACCTGCCAGAGCCCAGGAAGTACCTCTCCTGAAACAGCCAAGCAACATAGGAAAGAAGGGGAAGGCAGTATCTCTTCTGGGGCAGAAGACTGAGTGGGGTCACACCAAGGTCAATGGCACCATCTGGGACCGCACACCGGTAGCTCTCATGGTCTAGTCCCTATCCCTCACCCAGGGTTCTGCCATGTCAATGCCCTTGGCCCAAAGTGTTCCCTAGCCCCAGCCTTAGCAGGGACAGCATAAGGGCCACATTGAGAGAATGGACAAAGGGCTACCCAGAGTCCCCAGGGAGAAAGTTAATATGGCAAATGGACAAGTAGAAGGGACCGGCAAATTCTCATGACCACCCCCTCTGGACTCTTTAGCAACCAGGACACAGGGCTGAGCTGGTACCAGGAACAGGTGCATGGAGTTTGACTAGATGCATAAAACACAAATCACCTAACCTGTTTCGGAGTCTTCACTGTCAGAAGAGCTGGACTCACTGGAGCTCTCCGACTCTGAGGATGAGAAGCCCTTCATCTTAGAGGAGCCAGCAATCACATCAACTTTCTCAGCTGCAATCCAAGCAACAGGAACTGTGTTAGGCAGGGCCCTGATCCAGAAGAATGCAGGAACCATGTACACACATCACCCACTGGGGGCTGTTTCTAGCAATCAGCTGCTGTTGTTGTCTTAGGATCTTCGTGGCCCCCAGCTTCCCACTGGTTGCCTACTGCACACTAGCCAAAGACTCAGCTTTGGTGGAGGAAATTCAAAGTCCCTCTAATTCCTCAGAATATCCTTTAGAGCAGTGGTTCTCAACCTTCCTAATGCTGCGGCCCTTTAATACAGTTCCTGTGGGTCGCAACCCACAGGTTGAGAACTGCTGCTTTAGAGGGTTTATCATGGATTCAAGGGACCAAGCAAGCTGTTATTTTCTAACAAAAGTACTGCTAGGCGTGGGCATAGGTTCTCTCAATTACTTTTCTGGTAGGGAGTGAAGAGGACCCAAAGGGAACATGATACCCAGACATAAAGCAGGCCAAGGACAGAGCCCTGGGAGCCTCCCTGCATGGCTGTCCAGTGCCCAAGTGTTACCATATAGTATACCTCAGGGAGAGGCCCAAGGACCTGAGGAGCCAGTCTAAGCTGAGGTCAAAGGCTGTGGTACAATGTCCTGACATATCCTAAGTCCTACAGGCCCACGGGGAAAGTAGTGTCCCAGGATGCATGGCACATACAATGTGAAAGGAATGCTTGGAAAAGTGCCCCCCAAAAGGGCATCATACCAAGCTATCCTTGCTAGAGAAGGAAAGAGGCTGGCTCAGTGCTAATCTACTGCATCAGCACTCAGGTCCTTAAGGTACTGCAGGCATTCTCCTGGCAACCTGCCCCCAAGAGGCAGAAGGTGGTTTTCAGGGCAGACTCAGTAGGACGCAGCCCTAAGGCAAGGCTTAGGACACTAAGGTTTAGGTAGGCCCAGACAGCCACCAGCCAGAGGGATCTGGAAAGGCACTTGACAGCTCAGGGTTTAGTGTGACCTCCTGGAGGTATCCATGTCAAGGACACACATTTTATAATTTTGAAAAAGAGCCTGCAGAGGGAAAAGGCTGAATCAGGAAGGGGAAGTTAACTGAGACTGTCCATGGGAAGGAAGGACCCCCATGCCCAGAGGGCCCAAGTGCACCTTGAGGTTTCCTTTTCTTCCGCAAACAGGAAGTGACATAGCGCTCTAATTCACGTAGCGTGGACGGTTTCAGGGTCTCAAAGTCAATCTCAATCTCATCGGGGTTTGAGTTCTTGAGTGAAGGCTCCCGCGACTGGATGATGTGCACTACACGGCCCAGTTTCTCTCCAGGCAGCTTGTTGATGTCTAGGCTAAGCTGCCGCTTCTCCTCATATGACATGGGCTTGCATTTGTCCTCCTCTTCCGACTCGTATGCAGGAGGGGGCTTATTTTTCATGGGTGCTGGCTCCTTCTTGCTATGAAGGGACGATGCAGACACTGTCAAGAGTGGGTCCCCTGAGGAAGCTGGGCACTCACTCTATGGGGGGCTCCCCACGTCTTACTTGCTGGCCTTCACAGGACAATAGGACACGGACAACTCAACCCCTGAAACCACCCACTGGAGAGTGAAAGCAAACCACAACCCAGGGGCTGCTGAAGATAGGGCTCTGCTATGGTCCTGAGCCTCCATCTGTACCATGCTATCCTCCCTCACCAAACATGATGAGCAACAAAGGACTACTCCACAGAAAGGGCAGAGAGCACACAGCTAAGTCTTGCATGTGAGCATTGCCAGCCTCCCCAGGTGAGCCAATGCTGCAGAAGGTTAGTCCCTATAACCACCATGGGCGGACTGGGCCAGAAGGCCCACATGGCCTCAGGCAGCCCCTAGAAGATAGGTCCCCACCCAGGGCAGATTCAGGGAACACAGACCTTGTGTTGCTGTTGCTACTGTTATTTTTCTTTGTCTTTTTGGGAGGAAGTTCCTTGGCTTTGCTTTTCTTATTCTCCTCCACTTCCTCTTTCTTTTTGTGCTTTTCCTTTTTCTTTTCCTTCTTGTCTTTCTCCTTTTTCTTTGGTTTGTTCTGCTGGGGCTGCGAGAGGGCTGCAAGCTGCTCATGCACGGCTTTGAGCTGTGAACCAGACAGGCAAGACACACACCTGGGGTTGGGACCTCCTTCCATCCCATCACCTGAGACCTGGACATCTGCTCTCAACCACATGGTACAGTGTGAAACTCTGGGCATCACAGTCCAGGCAGAGGTGGGCTGGCTGGACCTTGGCTCTGTAAACAGATTCCCAAAGTGTCTGTGCCCATCGATTCCTTGAACTCCAAGGATTGCCAGTGTGTGCCCCTCAACAGAACAGCTGCTCACACCAACAGAATCTAAGTCCCATGGCCATTCTGGCCTCAGGAGAGACCCTAAGAGGCTGGACAAAACATACAGACACAATGGGCAGTAAGAGCTTTATGACTGCCTTTGTAGAGAGAAGCAACTAGGCAAGCAGGCCTACGAGAGGTGTACATCCTGGCTCGACTTCCTTCCAGATGATGGGAGGATCCAGAAGATTCGCCTCTACCCCATAAATAGCCATGTAACCCCAACCTTCACACACACAGGGCATGTATGTATATAATCAACATACACTTGATCTAGAAGAGGGGGAAAATTCACAAGGGGATCAGTGGAAATTCTGCACCCATGGAACCTCAAGAGTCAAGAGCATCCTTGAAATCCTTTGAGGAAAATTGCCCTGGTCCATGGACTCAAAGGGGCAGGAATGGAGTCACCAGTGCTCTCACCTGCTCCTGGAGCTCAGCCAACCGCTGAGCTCGCTCCTCCTCAGAGTCATCAGTGGAACTGTCACTATCCGAGGAGCTATCACTGCTGCTGTCGCTGGATGAAGGCGGGGCCACAACCTTGGTGGGAGGGGGCACTGCTGGGGAGGACACAGCCACCACTGGCTCCTCAGGCTCATCTGGCATCTTGGCAAAGCGCATTTCAAACACATCCTGGGGAGGAAAGCCATACCCATGAGGGCTGCTGGGTGCCCAAGCTGTGGCCCAGCATCACGTTGGCTTCACAGCTGCTGGGGATAACTCAAGAAAAAGCAATCAGAAGGTAAAGAGGGCTTCAAGTACTGTGATCCTCTCTCCACTACTAACATGGGGTCAAGCGGCTGGCTGAGGCCTTCTAACAACTCTTTCAAAACTCTTCTCTCAAATCTCACTTTGAGGAGTAAGGTGGTCCTGATGTGGCTGGATATTCACCCTTTGGGGAACACAGCCCACGTAAGGACATGTAACCCAGGCCACAGAAGGCAGGCAGCCCACTGAAGACATCACTCTAGGGATGCTCAACAGGCTGAGGGCGTGCCCCAGAAACAGTCCCTTTAAGGTTCCTGCCAGGTCCATGAGTCTCAGACAAGGGGCTCTGCCTGCTCTTTGATTCATACTCCAGCAAGGAATGGGCAGTCTCCCATTTTAGAGAGCCTTCCAGGCAGAGGGAAAAGCATGTGCAAAGGCCCCAAGGTAGAAGTGTGCTTGGCCAGGCTGCACTGCAGTGGGCTTGTGTCTTAAGCATGCTTCCCCACTCCTCATTATCACCAAAGGAGGACCTAACTAAGCAGTACTAAGCCACTAGCTAAAGCGTCTGGAGGGAATGAAAGGCAAGGTGAGAAAGGTACAGGGCAGCAGGTGTAGGGATGCTAAATCCAGGCTAAAGGAGAGAGCCACCTTGTGAGAGTCAAACATTCTAAGCAGAGGCCAGGAGACCGAGACCTTTTAACTCTAAGACCCAGGAATTAGATTGTACCATGTGGGGTCACTGAGGTCAGTGATAGCATCTCTGCCTGGATATCCAGGGTGTGGCTATGCACTGCTCATCAGTGCACCAGTTGGCAAGTCCTATCCTAATCTGGGGGCTCTGTGATCAAGCCAGTGGTGACTTAGAAGACAGAGCTGGCTTCCCAGTATAATCCAATGAGGCATCTGGCACAATGAAAAGAGCCTCCCCCAGGTATGTGTTGATGCTTCAGAGAACATCACATGGGGTTGGGCACCAAGGATACTGTTTCAACCCAGGGTCAACATGATGGAACCAGCCCTACAATCACATTTTTCTTTGGAGACAGAGTCCCACTACGTTGCCCTTGGTAGAGTGCTGTGGTGTCACAGCTCACAGCAACATCAAACTCTTGGGCTTAAGCGATTCTCTTGCCTCAGCTTCCGAAGCAGCTGGGACTACAGGCGCCCGCCACAATGCCTGGCTATTTTTTGCTTCTTGTTGTTATTGCTGTCTGGCAGGTCCGGGCTGCATTTGAACCCACCAGCTCCAGTGTATGTGGCTGGCGCCCTCACTGCTAAGCTATAGGAGCATAGCCAACTTTTTTTTTGAGACAGAGTTTCACTATGTCGCCCTCAGTAGAGTGCTGCGGTGTAACAGCTCACAGCAAACAGCAAACTCAAACTCTTGGGCTTAAGTAAATCTCTTGCCTCAGCCTCCTAAGTAGCTAGAACTATAAACACCCGCCACAACGCCCAGCTATTTTTTTGCTATTGTTGTCATTATTTTAGCAGGCCCTGGCCAGATTTGAACCCACTAGCCCCTGTGTATGTAGTCAGCACCCTAACCACTGAGCAATGATGCTGAACCCTAGAATCACTTCTTGATGTCTTAGGAGATAGGCACTGAAGTCTCCTATCCCAGCAGCAGGAGTCCCAAGCAGCTGTGGTGCTGCTCCCCTCCCCTCCAGGCCACTCTACGGGTAGTGCCTTCTCTCAGCACGGTACCCACTTGCATTCTGTTAAAGTAGTTTTGCTGACCAAGTATTAGAAGGGCAAAACCTTTTCTAATCTATTCAGAAATAAACCCTTGAGCAGATCCGAAGGAAGATACACAAAAGGAATGACTAGAGACTATCACTACCCTGCCTCCTGGGGAGAGGGGCCCGGGCAGGGGTTTCATAAGAAAGGAGAGGCTGCCAGTGTGGCAGCAAGCAGGACCCTAGCCCCATAGCACTTGGCTATGTGCCAAGACAGCAGTGGCCTCACCCCCCAGAGCCCTGGATGTGGATAGGCTCAGGTCCCTTTCCAACTCATATGCAGGCAGGGGCTTGTTTTTCATGACTCCAAGAGGTAGCAGATTAAAGAAGTCAACGTGCCTCAGAGTGTTAGGACATCATGAAGGGAAGTGACCTCCTCTTTTTCTTAGGTCAGGAAGTAAGAGCTGCTTCAGGCTACTTGTGTGTGAGCTTGGTCCACCTCACCCTGGCCAGCTTGCAGATAGCACTGCTCTTGCTATGCAAACAACCCCACTCCCCACCTCTAGACTGTAGCTGTTGTGGAAATGGGAGTTTGGGAGCAGGTGGCACTTCCTCCAAGGCCTCCTATTCCCTGGGTACCTGTGGTCCTGGTCCTCCCAAGACCCCCAAAGCAAATAGTAAGTATCAGCTCGGTGCCTGTGGCTCAAGTGGCTAAGGCGCCAGCCACATACACCTAAGGTAGCAGGTTCAAACC